CACGACGAACATAAGCAGGAGACACTAACACGCATGGCATAGTTTCCGCCTTGGACGAAGCGATCAAAGCTTTGGGACAATGTGCGTTCTGGAAGAATTGAGAACCCTGAGTTATGCTCTGACTGAGCACGATACAGATGCGCCGCGATGAATGGTATCAGTCAGACAATTGTCGATCGAGCAGACGAAATTGCCTCACTATCTGCTCGTGGTGAAAATCTGATTGCCGCTTGCGCTGTCCTTTCGGCTCAAGAAACGCAGGCTCTGGATGATGCAGTAGGATATACTTTGTCTATCTACTTCTCCGTCCCCGATTGAGAAACGAAAGGCTAACTGGTTATGTTTCAAGGGCAGGTTAGCGAGGGAGTTCTTGTCGTTGGATCTGTCTGCGCCTTGTGATGTTAAGTTGATGAGAGATCGACTGGAGAAATTGTTCGACGGATCTGGTGCGGGTTCTTGACTGCCAACCGAGATTAGTATATATTTATCTTGACCCGGACGGATAACGGTCCACCCCTGCAACTACTTACTGCCAGTTACAGTACTATCCGGTGCCTTTATGGCCTTCTTTAATTCAATGCTTTATGCTACGGCCAGTCTACTTTACTAGTGGAAGCTGACTTCAGCAATATCATCAACAGTCAGACAAAAGTTTGTATCATCGGGAAGAAATTATCTATATACACACAAAGACCCATTTTCGCACACATTGAACGCCCGTAATGTATGTCTCCAATTGTGCTACCGCAGTACCAAGAAACAGAACCAGAAGAACTAGAATCAGAGCTTAACACTCTTAACAACGTTCTTCTTGATACCCGTAAGTTCACCACCATATCCACCACGACCTTCACCACCCTTGTATACCTGGCGAATACTGCCGAGCTTCTTCTTCTTCTCCTCGAATCTCTTTCTCTTCTTGACACGAGGGTTGCGAGAGTCCTTGCTGCGCTTGGGTGCAAGACCCTTGTTCTTCTCGATCTGGTAGGTGATGGCACGCTTGCCATCGGGTCCGACCTGTTCCTGGATCTCAACGTGACCGCCTTCACGAGCCGCAGCAGCGTAGGCCTCGGCGCGTGCCTTCTTGTCGTCCTTGCGCTGCTTGCCGCGAGCCGCGACCATGTCGTAGTAGTCGTCATCGTCGGACCCTTCGTCGCCGCGGAGCTGCTTGGCGACCCGGTGGTCTTCCTCATCACTGTCGCCGCCTAGCTGCTCGGAGTCCTTCAGTTTCTGTTTACCACGTCTCTCGGCTTCGGCGTTCAGGCGGGCTTGGCGGTCCCTCAGACGCTCACGGTAAGGTAGATCTGCATCACCACCTGCGTCACGACCGGCTGCGTTACGCTTGTTGGCTTTCTGGGCGAGTTGAGATGTGTAGAACCGGAGAGAGCGCTTCTGCTTGGCCTTCTCTTCGGCTTCCTTGGCTGTGAGGGCGTCTTCGTCACCGAAGTCGGAGTCGTCGGCTTCCTTGGTCGACTTGGTCTTCTGGGCAGCGCGTTTCTTGCTCGATCCGGAAACGAGCTTCGACAGGTCGGCGAGGTTGGCTTCGGTCTGTCGGAGTCGCTCTGCTCGTCGTGCCTCTGCCTCGGCTTGTGCTGCTTCGGCGGCGCGCTGTGCCTTGGATACCTTCTCTGCCTTCTTCTTGTTCTTCTTGGAAGTTTGCTCCTCGCCCTTCTTGCTCTTTTGCTTGGGCGTGGGTGCGTCGGCCATGATTTCGTCAACTTCGGAGTCGTCCTCGGCTTCGGATGCCTCCGGCTCGGGTTCACTGAGGTTCTTGACGGTCTCCCAGAGTTTTCTGAACTTGACTAGGGATCCCATTATGGGGTGGGCTCGTAGCTGAGCAGGCGATAGTGGAGCAGGCTTGCCGGAGTCGTCGGTGGAAGAGGTCAGGAGCATAAAGTACATGCCGATCGTACCAAGGTAAGCGGACAGAGCGCGGAACTTGACGACGGTAACCGGTGCGGATTCCGGAGCATCTTCGGAGTCATCGTTGGCATTGAAGCTTTGAGCGGCCTTGGCGAGGGCCTGATGCGTGGACTGGAGGTCGGCGAAGTCTTTCGCTAGGGGCTCGAACTCGGGATATCTGGACTTGAGTATCTTCAATTTCTCCTCTTCGCTCATATCTTCCGTAATCTCCAGTTGCGGGAGAACCTCTGTCACCTCACCGCCATCCTCTGCATCCTTCTGGTCCTTGCCGGATTCGACCCATTCAGATTCGTCGAAGCCGAAGTCTTCCTCATTGATGGCCTGTAGATGCTTCTGCTGAAGTCGCTTAGCTTCCTCCTCCTCTTCAAGAGCGTCTGCTTCCGTTTCGATCTGATCCGCACTGTAAAGATCCTTCTTGGAAGAGCCCCAAGCGGCGATACCTTCCTCGTCGTCTTCAGATCCCGGACTGCCGCCGCGCTTCGACTTGGATTTTGACTGAACACCATCCATGTCGTCCTCATCGTAGTCATCGCCTTCGTCAAAGTCTTCCTCATCATCAAGATCTAGATCATCCTCGTCGTCCTCGTCATCGTATCCCATGATTTCTTCGTCCGATGCCTGGAGAAGCTCCTCTAAAAGCGTATCCCGTTAGTTGAACATATCCACAGAATGCGCTTTGTGCAACCAACCTTCCTCAGCCACCCTCCGACGTCTCTTTGCTTCCGGCGCCTCTTCCAGCAGGATCTGGTCGCGACCGGTCTGGAACTCATCCTCCGAATCATCGAATCGCTCCTCAATGTGGAATTTGGACGGGCCATGCTTGTCCGCCTTAGGGGCCGCAGGGCGACCACCAGCCTTTCTCTTTTTACCCATGATAAATTGCGTATGAGGGAGTAAGAGGTAGAATTGCTAGTACGGACCAAATCCTCCGCAGCGAATCGATAAACTTTCGCAATAAAAATTTGGGAGGGACACTCTCACCGCCCGGCAGACACTAGTCCCCAATTGGGTGTTTGCACCGTTTGGTGGGCCCATGTTCCGCGGAGGATCGCGCCTTCCTATCTGGAACTGTTCCTATCATCTTTCCGAAAAAGCAACAAGAATACCGCTTCCTTCTCTCCTCATCGGCCATTGTCCCAGAACAGGAAGCCTCGAACAGCCCCAGACATTTGTCATTTCTTTCCTCTCCCCCAAAGTCCTTTCTCTTTCTTCTTTCCTATGCATTCTCTGATACCCACCACCTTTTACGACTCTTCCCCGACTACGCTGGGAATTTATACCATTCTTTGCGGACTATTCCTATACTCTGCTAGCAAAATGTTCGGATTCGGTCGTAACCAGTTCGTCGTTCAGGGCAGGGTATGTTTCCATTGTTCCCTCCAACTTCTTGCCCGTGGCATAGTCGGTTAACCTCTTCTTTAGACCGTTGTTATCACGGGAGGTTCGGAGGGGATGGGCAAGGCCGTGGCTTGCCAGCTTGCAGAGAAGGGTGCCAATGTTGTGCTCGTCGCACGCACGGAGTCGAAGCTCCAGGATGCCGTTGAGACTGTCAAGGTAAGTTGACGTTTGGTCTCAGGGTGAATTTCAGCTAATTCATAATGTTCTTAAAGGGTGCCGCGGCTGAGGCCGAGCGACAGAGATTCCACTACATCTGTGCAGACCTGACCAATGCTGCCGAGTGTGACCGTGTCATGGCCGAAGTCACCGAATGGAACCACGGACAATCCCCCGATATCGTATGGTGCTGTGCAGGATACTGCAGTCCCGGCTTCTTTGCAGAGACCCCCGTTCAGACATTGAGGGACCAAATGGATACGGTGTACTGGACAGCTGCCAACACTGCTCATGCAATCTTGAGACGGTGGCTTGTACCCATTACTCCCAGCCAGCAAATGCCGCTACCTCCTAGACACCTCATCTTCACATGCTCTACCCTCGCATTCGTGCCCATTGCTGGTTATGCCCCTTACTCACCTGCCAAAGCTGCAATTCGCTCATTGTCTGATACTCTCAGCCAAGAAATTGAGATGTACAACGGTTCTCGCGCCGACAAGTGCCGCTCGGAGGCTCCAGCTACGGACGTCAAGATCCATACCGTCTTCCCCATGGGCATTCTCAGCCCTGGATTCGACAACGAACAGAAGCTCAAGCCGGATTTGACCAAGAAGCTGGAGGCTGCTGATAAGCCACAGACACCTAGAGAAGTTGCAAACATTGCGATCAAGGCCCTGGAGAGGGGTGAGTACATGATCACCACGATGTTCGTTGGCGATGTCATGAAGGGATCAGCGCTCGGAGGCAGCCAGCGGAACTCCTTCATTAAGGATACGTTCACTGGCTGGCTCAGCAACTTGTTGTTCTTGCATGTGAGCCCCGATCTCAGGAGACAGGCCTGGAGCTGGGGTGAGAAGCACGGCGTCCCTGGTCGCCGGAGAGAGTAATCGATGGGGGTCTTGCTATGCTTTGTGTGTCGTCGTTTGGTGTATGAGTTAGATACCCTGAGCGTGCCTCTTTATCCTTATGACCATTATCATGTTCGCCTGGAGTATCATGTACTGAAAAATCCCGATTGATCATTAATTTCAACATCATCATTGTTCCACTGTCTTTAGTTTCTAGTTTGACGGCCAGGCTCCATAGGCTGTACTGTAATCTCGGATATCAGAGCAGGGATTGAAACGTCTGTAGAACGGAGAGGCGTAGACCAATGGCGATACACTCGCAACGAACGAAGCCTTTGAAGCTACTTGTAGGTCTGGAACCTCCAACGGATGCTTGAATGGGTCCTTTGTCCGCCGCCGAAAATAGCCGCAGAGTTGACAAAGCGAGGCGCCATTTTAGGGCTAGTGGGTCGTGACGTCGGGCGGCTGCTGCAGGCACTTTGCTCTTCCATTGTTCCTGCGGCTGTCTTTCACTTCGATAACCACAAAACTTTCTTCTACTTTGCGCCTTTGTCCCTAGTCCCACTATATAAGATGCGCCTGCGAAAGCATGCAAGGGGATGCTAGATACTGTGATCCTACCGCCAGATCGTTATTCTTCAGAACCCTCAATAGCTCCCAATCGCCGTCGACACCATGAATCGGGTCTTGGCTCTCCCAGCTCTGTTCTTCTGTCTCTTCACCTACACCCCTTCCTACACCACCTTTAATTTGATCTTCTTTTATATGACATGGACGACTCTCATCCTGTCGCATTCCCCATTCAAGGTTGAGCTGTTCGGCTCCATAGGCGTGCGACTGCTGTTCTATATCCTCCCCTCGGCGCTGCTCTTTCTATTCGATGCGCTTGTCCCCTCCGCCGCCGTCCTGCTCAAGGCGCATGGTGAACACGGTCTCCCGACTGGAAGCAAGCGACGAGGAGTCCGGGGTCGAGAGCTCAAAGTCGTAGGATGGTCATTCCTCAACATTTTCATAAGCATCGCCGTGCAAGCTACCATCGAAACTCTTCGCATCGGGTATTTCAATACGCGCAGTGCCCTCAAAGTATCCTTCTCGATCCCGATCATACCATGGAACATTGCCTTCCATCTCGCCTGTGTCCTACTACTCCGAGAGGTAAATTCTGTCTCGAAATGTTTACACTTCCAATGTGTTGGCGATCAGCCGCAACGACACTCACTAATCACGCGCGCGCAACTCCCAGATCCTCGCATACACCATCCACCGCTTCATCCTCCATAACGACAAATACCGCATCACGCGCTACATCTCCTCCCTCCACCAAACCTGGTACCACTCGCTTCACGCGCCCTACCCTTCCACCGCCCATTACGACCACCCTATTCCCTACCTCCTCGGTAATGCCGTCCCCACATTACTCCCCGCCGTCTTCCTCCGCCTCCACATGATCACCTACGCCATGTACATGAGCATCGTCTCGCTGGAAGAGACTCTCGCTTACTCCGGATACTCTGCCATGCCGATGGACTTCTTCCTCCTGGGCGGGATCGCTCGCCGAGTAGAGAAGCATCTTTTGAATCGCGCGGCCGGGAATTTTGGCCCGTGGGGTATTGCGGATTGGTTTTGTCAGACTACAATTAGCGAAGAGGAGGGTGAGGCGCTGATCACCGAGACAGAAGATGAGGGTGATGAGCCTACGCCCGTTCTTAGGGGGAAGGAGATTTTTGAGGCCAAGGTGCAGGAGGCTTTGGATTCGCACGCTAAGAAGACGCAGAGGAAGCATAAGAAGAAGTTGAGGCAGTTGTTGTGAGGCGGTGTGGGGAGATATATATTTTGTTGTTAAGTATATCTTTGGTATGTGGGGTTGGTTGGTTCATTGTTATGTGCTTATGGATCATGTAATTTATGATGTGATGCTATTTCTGATGTATGTGCGCAATATGGGTTATATTGTCTGGCAGGGAGTTTGGTTCGACGTGGTTGGGATTGTCCTGGTGTTTCATAGAGGAGCTGCTATTTATCCAGTATTTTTTGGAATGTTATCGTTATCAGTGTGAATGTGAAAGTGCATGTGGGGCTGGGGTTGCATTCGGAATCCCGGCAATGTCCAGTTGCCAATAGATAAGTAGTGGCAATAGTCGATACACACACAAAGTATACTACCTAGTACTATCATACCGTCATGCATCATAGATATGAATGATCAACTACAACTTGATCTAGCCCGGAAGAATAGTAGTGGATCGTCGATATAATAAAAATGCCCAATTCTTTTGATATTTTTCCGCCCGAACCTGATATTGAAAGATATTGGAATAGTCGTAGTGAACAGAGTGTAGTAACATAAAATTGAACAGCTGGAAATGGTATTCTTCTTTTTTTCTTTTCATTTCGGCTCAAAGTTATCGACTGCAAGAAGGGGGGGTTGTGCAAACGGCCAGAATTGCTGGAGGAAGACAGTTCAGTTTTGGGGGGGAGATCAAGTATGAAATAACAACCGGTTTTTCCTTTCCTTTTTTAACCTCGGCATTAAAAAAAACCGCAATCCTAAGCAAACATGAGGCTCGAATCGAGTTACATATACTTCATGAGCTGTTTCCTCCTGCGACCCCCCTTTTCCTTTTGCAAGTGCCGGTTGTGGAGTTCGACCAGTTGCTTGCAAAAGATTGAAAAGGGAGTTTCTAGCCGCCGCCCCTCGCAGGACTCCTCCACAATAACTACCGAACCCGCGGCCGCCGCGTCACACATCTACCACTTCATCTCGTGGGGCTTGTCGCCGTTGCGGAGGCTGAAGGTGCTGGCCAGGTAGCTTCCGAGGAAAGCCTCCTTCTTGACGGAGGCGAGGATGGACTGGTCAACGGCCTTCTGGTCGCTAGCGCGAGCGCTGGCAACAACCTTCTTCTGTTGATTGAGAAAAATCGCTATATCAGTATTCATCCGGCCACTTCCGTAAAGGTTGGACTCCTCTCGGAGGAAGAGCCAAACCACGGGTGTGTATGTGCACATACCTGGGGCTTCTCTCCCTGCTTGAAGAAAGCCTCCTCGGTCTTCTTCTCGGCCTTCTTCTCCTTGGTGAAGTAGTCGGCAGCGGAGACCTTCTCGAGGGTCTGGGCGTCAACACCGCTGATGTCGATACGGGTGCTGGTGGCGATCACGTAACGAGCGTTGACACGGCGGAGGGGGACACCGTTGATCTTGAAGGGACCGGTGACGAGGAGAACACCCTGCTCGAGGTGCTTGAGGAGAACGACACGCTTTCCACGGAAGCGGCCGGCGAGGAGGATCAGAACGGTACCGGGCTGGAGGCTCTCGCGGACCTTAGCGGGACGGATAGCCTTGCGGACCTATATGTATATAAAATAACCATGTCAGAATGCCTGTTCCAATTCCTTCTTGCCCATTTCGAATTCCGGGGCCCCGATTTCTCCAAGATGCGATTTCCTTATCAACTCATGCGGTATAGAACACTGGCCCTGAATCTTTGACTTGTCCTCCAAATCTTCCGCTTTTTTATAAAGGAAGTTCAATCTTTCCCAAGACCAGCGCAAACCCGTCGCATTTGTTCATAACGAAACCGCATCTTTTTCCATCTCATTTTCTGGCTCTTGCACAGGGTGTGGTACTGACTTTCTTGGGCTGCGACTCGTCATCAACGGGGTACCATTTCTGGGCCTTCTGGGCCGGGTGAGGGACGGTCCTCTGGCCCTTTCCAAACTGCTTCGTCTGGCCAACAGTAGAGTCCGACATATTGGCTGCTGGGGACGAAGGTGGTCTGAAAAGAATGTAGGGGGAGGGTGGTGGTTGTCGACGGCGGGTGGTTGTTGGAGTTGATGTGTGACTTGCTACTTGCGCCCCAGGACGGGAAAGTGTGAGTTTGTGTGGACGCGAGCCCTAGCCGAAAGGCGCTAGTGCCGATTCGGCGCCCCTTTGATAGCGATAGCCCGATAACCGCTGCTTTTGTGGCCTCAGGCATAAAACATGTCTTTTTTGCCGTCCGCCTTTCCGGTCACCCGTAGATACCAATTCCGCAGAAACCCAAGCTCCCTTTAATCTTCATCACGTTACCTGCCGACTTGTTTGCGGGTGACGAACTGACGTACATTACTGCTTCAGCAGCTTCTTCCGTCAATCCACAACCTACAGTTTCTTTCCCGCATCGTTGGTGTGCGCTTATCATCAAAGTTCTAGCTTAGAGAATCTGTGTATATTTTCAACAGTCTTTTCTGCCCCCCTCTATTAGCCTACGCCATATTACACCATGTCTATAGCTCCGATCATTACCTTCAAAGCGGGTATCTGTGACCTCGAGGTTAGTTGAATATGGAGCTTCCTCCCACCCGTCACTGTTTCATTGCATCTCTATCAACATGTTGCTTATTGAAACCTTTCTCTGATAGACGTCCGGTGAAACCTCCGTCGTCAAGCCGAAGCCCACCCCCGGTTACATCTATCTCTACTCCGAAGATGAGCTGGTACACTTTTGCTGGCGCCCCAGATCTGCTCCCCACACGGAACCCGAGCTCGACCTGGTAATGGTTCCCTCGGATGGTTGCTTCGTACCTTACAAGCCTGTCGACTCTACAGCACCTACCAATGGTCGTATCTACGTCTTGAAGTTCTCCTCCAGCTCCCAACGGTACCTCTTCTGGCTACAATCCAAGTCTCAGCATGAGGACGGAAACCCGAGCTGGTTCAGCCAAAGAGATCTTAAGCTAGGAGAGATTGTCAACGGGCTGCTCCAGGGTGAAGATGTGGATGTAGAACATGAGATCGCCAACCTTCCCCGAGGCGGTCCCTCGGGCGGCGATGACGACGAGACTATGGAGGATGTCGAAGGCGTGGACCATGACCCGAACCACAACCACGGAGGGAACAGTGGAGGAGCAGGTCCGGATGCGACTGGCGGTGATGTTCGGGCGGAAGGCCAAGGATCGAGGGAGGGTGGTGCCGATGGTGGAAGAGCGTAGGTACATATCTCGACAGTTTTATTTGTCTCTAGTCTTGAACTTTACTAGCCGAGATATTCAATATGCTCGGATATTTTGGTCACGATTATAGGCCTTCCCCTTCATGAATCCAAGCTAACTAGCATTCTTGGCTCACAGGGCCGCCGCTGACTCGGATCCTTCATCTGTCGTGCAGAGCTTCCTGCAGTCGCTGCATGGGGGCTCGCGGCAATCCCAAGACCCCGAGAGACCTTTCACTACTCTGCAAGACCTACTTACAACCTCGACTACATTGCCCTTCTTGGAATCTGCGGACGAACAAACGGTTGACAACCTCCTGAGCTTCCTGCCGCCGTCGCTGCTTCTCCTAGCGCAGGACAATGACCTCGAGGAAGCCGCGGCAGCTGATCAGGACCCGGACATCGCTCAAGCCGCCCTGGGATCGCTCGAACTGACGCAAAAGAAGGAGATTCTGCGCAAAGTTCTACACTCACCTCAATTTGCGCAGAGTCTAGCAAGCTTGACGATGGCGATCAGAGATGGTGGATTACCGAGCATCAGCGAGGCTCTAAAAATTCCGGTTGCAAATGGAGGATTTATGCGTAGAGGAGGGGTTCCATTGGGTGGTGGTGATGCTGTTGAGGCATTCCTCCAAGGCGTTCGGGATCATGTTAAGGATTCGGCTGAAGAAAACCGTATGGACACCGATTGATTGGGTTCGAAATAGCAGTGATTATGTTATGTTGACAGGGTTCTTCTTATTTTCCTTATCTTTCTTACTATTATTATCTTCAGCCAGCCATTCTGTAACTATCCACTGATGTTTTAGAAATCCATTAGCGGCCTTGCATGGATGTCTCATCCCCTCCTAAGCAGAAAGAGACTTGTCATGGGTTATTTTTGGCATGAGGTGGGTGGGGTAAGAATAGCACTGGTCGGTAGGCAGCATGATAATACTGGTAATATCAATACCGTTAATAATAATGTGTCTGGTGTGGCGTATTGGCGGACTCCGCCCGTTAATTTCAAACTGAATCAAGAATTAAAAAAAGAAAAAGAAAAGTACGTAGGGCAAAAAAGTTTCCGACTTGATGATCTCTTCCTCCACCGAGGCAAAAGAGGTGGGACAGATATCAATGGAATTGCCGTATCGGGAGTGGACACAAGTGATCCCCATCCTGATCCTGTCAGGGACCGGACAAAGCAAGTCAAGTCAATGTCAGTCATCCGTACTTAGATTATTACTTAAATGCATCATGGGGGGGAGGCGCATAATTCCCCTCCCGGGCGCAGCAGGGGGGAAAATCCCAAGTCAAGCCCCGTTCCAAAGCCAGAGCCCATCCATATCCACCCTCAATAATTGGCCGTGTGTCGAACGAACTCGACCCGGACCATTCATAAGGCTCGGACGTTTAGCAATCACTGGGCCAGAGAACCTGGCCAATGGGCCATACAGAGGCCGCCGCTGCCGAATCCGCCCCAGTTTTGGCCGCTTTGGCGCCGTCCAGCCAAAGCTCCGCTGCGCATACCGAGCAATAATAACCATCACTGTGATCTGGAAGTCGACACGTTTGGGTTCCTGTCCCCATCATGCCCGCTGCTTCTTGACGGCTGCCTGGCTTGATTGGATCCTTACCCACGTTTCCGCACGGGGTGCCACCGCTAACTTAACCAAAGTTCGTCAGCCCTTTCGTACTACTTTAACTTACTTAGGGAGTCTGTCCCATATTTTCCCCAGCGCGCTTTTACTTGGCCTCGGTCGTCAACGCTCCCCAGCGCCTTTCTGACCTGCTTTCTTCTCTTCCTGAACAGCCTGCGATGTCTGCCTTCGGTTAGCACTCTGACGACTGCCCACCATGGCTTC